TTTCCCTAAGTAGACAAGCCCTTAACAGAGATAGAGCAGAGCCTAGGGCTAATCTTAACAGGCAGAAACATATGGTTTGGACTAGAAAGCAAAGGAAAAACAATAAATGCAATTATTGTCCCAGAATGTCATTGGGGCTTTAGCTACACCCTGCTGGTTTAGGGACTGCCAAAGTAACAGGGCTGAAAATCAAAGGGAAATTAAAATAAGAAATGTTACCTCCTTTTTCAGGAGCCTACTTTAAAATGATAGTTGCATTGCTCTCCTCACCCTAATTAATTTCCTATTGTAGTTGCCTGGCTTTAGAGGTTATAATTCTTTTGAAGCCTAGAGCAAATAATTAAAAACTTAATTAAAGACTCCGATTCATGAGCAGAATAACATGGGAGAGGGCGCTTCTCCTGGCTCAGAGAACTACTTTTTGCTTACAGCCAAGTGGTGTTTCCCAGAGCATAAGGATTAGATGCTCCCTCTTGTCACCAGTGCCAGGAGAAGCAAACAAATGCCACCTCCGGACAAAATGTAAGGAAAGGAAACTGCGGGTACACAGCACGCTGAGTCCATTGTGGCAATAATACATGTCTTAAATTGCATGACTAAGAACAACTCACAACAACTCAAGGTATGGAACTAGGTAGTAGCTTGCTCAACAGCAGTCCACAAACTTTATGAAAAAGGATTGTCATTGTTGGAAATCCACCAACCATGTTTCTGACACTAACCTGGTACTGCTTTATACCAGGAGATCTGTTCTTACCTGCTTATCGATTGGCTAAACTGCCTCCTCTGTGCAATGTGAACTGCAATCTCACAGTTGTGAGGTGTAAGAAGGGACAAGAACATGCTGGTAGTAGATCAAGAAGTTCAACCGAAGAGAGAGCAAGGGAGAAAGAGGAAAGGACCAAACACTAAAATATAACTTGGGCCTGCATTGTACATATGCATGACTCTGTCACATGGGTCATGCCTGCTTCACCTCTTTCTTGCACACTAAGCAGCAAGAAGCTACGAGCTGAAACACGGATGCAGACTGCTGCTGCACTAGTACCACAACTGTGGATGCACGTCTGTGCTATCTCCCCAGGAAGCCCAAGCTTGTTGGCTAGCTGAAGACAATTATGAGGCTGAGCAAGAAGGCAAAATATTTTTTCAAGGAGATCTCTGTGTATTTAAAGGCACCCAGATAGGGGAAAATAAAGGAGACGCTTTGAAGGCTCCAAAGTAAAAGGCTTTGTGGGAACTCTGACTGAGGCTGGAACAGGCTTCCTGAGCAATGAAAAGGGGCATGAAGCTAAAGGGCAAGCTTTGGGGAAAGTAAAGTGCGCCTGGTAGTAGTGGGGCCAGGGTTTCCTGCAAGCTAAAGAGCAAAGATATCTATAAACATTGCAGAGGGGGGACAAGACAAGCCAAAAATAAAAAGCTGAAGAACATTTTTCTAAAACAAAGTTACTACAGATTAAGAACAGATTGAAATGGAAATAAAAGGAGACGAAATAAAACACACTAGGTGCATTTAAAATCTGTAATTGTATTTGCCCACCTGCTTAATTATTCAAATCTGTTTGGGTTTCCAATTGAAGTTTACTCCGTATTTCTAATGAGGTCCCCCCCAAGAGGAAGAGATTTTTAAGTTGGGAGCACAGCCCAGTTAGCTGAGCAGTCATGCAGGCAGCACAGACAATCTTCCTCTGGAACTTTAAGCCTATTTCATATAAACACTGTCTTTTGAGTATAACAAACATTTGGTTTTAAGTGAAAAAAACCCTAAAACCTAAAGAGAGATTCTAGTGGAAATAGGGTATTTTAAACCCACACCAAAAACATTGCTAAAAAATAAAGTTAGAGGCTCAAAATGTTCTAATATTCTCAGTGATGTTGCTTTTTTGTATCCTGCGGAGGGAAAACAGGAATCGCTTTATTCCAACAGTACTGACAGCACTCATCAAAGAGGGGCTCTCTGTGCATAACACCATTCATTACATATGGCAGGTTCCAAATCTGCATCACATTTTGTTTTGGGAACATAAACATGAGATTTAGAAAAATACCATCAGGAATCATTAACACCTTTGTTGAACAAGCTACCAATAGGGCTGTCTCCACAAAAAAAAAGAAAAATCTGTCTTTACTCTTCACCAATATTCAACACAGCAAAAGGGGAAGGAATAAAAAAAAAAAAATTAACGATCACATTTAATTTCTTTTCACTTAGGATTCAAGTCAGGAAAGTATTCAACAATCAGAAACAAAAGTGCTCAGGACCTCACAGAATCTGGCTTTGAATTAATAGTTACATACATTTGTTTTTCTCCCAGATCAGCTCATCTCAGTGTTTTCACGTTTTTCCAAGTGAGGACTATAACCAGTATATTAACTTTAAAGGAAAAGATACTGAAGCACAGAGAGGAGATACATGACCTGCCAAAGCCCCACAGCAGAGCACAGAGAACAAAGAGTAGTCTCTAGACCTTTTGCTCAGTGCACTCACTAGACCATACTAACCAAGACATATGCTGTCTATTGTACCTATCTTTTCTGCAGGCTGTATTAAAACTGTGGCTTGCTGGCAAAAAGCTGAACAGATGGTATGCACTTGAAAATGCACAGAATTATTGTATATGCAAAATATAAATGTATTACTTCCATATGACGAACACAGTTTTCTTCTGGAACAAATTAAAACATATCTGCCATACAGAAATTAACATTGTGCAAACTAAAACACCATTTCAACAGCACATATCACCCATTTCAAAGCATTAGATATGAAAACTAAACTGCAGTTAATGCCTTTGAGTTTCAGTGCCTAAAGAAGTCAGAGAGAGCATTCTGTGAAGAGTATTCGTTTTCTTTAAATATCCATAACGGCTTTTAAAAATTTTGACCTCAATTAGATTTACTGTGGCTGCTTCTTTGTCATTTAACAGCAAAAAGTAAGCATACAAATTTAACCATTTCATAACAAATCCAGTAGTCTGTGTACTCCTTTATTAGTACCTTTTTGACAGAGAATCAAGTACTTTTTTGACAGAGAATCAAAACTAAACCCTAGCTTAAATCATCCCAGCTTGACATGTCTGCACGCAAGTCTTGCTTACACACTTGCCTTTTCTGAGCCCAAAATTGTTTTCAAATGCATCCACTCATTGCAACTGCTTTCTTCAGAGATGCATACACATTCCCATTGAAATCCAGGAGCTGAACTTGTTTTAAAACTCTTGCAGCTAGCTTCAGCCAAAGGCCTATTTCAGCATTATAGTTAGTGCTTTTTCTTTTTTTTTTCTTTTAAGATAAATTTTAGGAGAGAGGTCAAAAGTTAAGGTAATTTATAAATATTACAAATGAATTTCCATTAGCTCTGGAGAGCCTGTAGCTGCTCCTCAATGCTCAGCTTAGGAAGAATACTTCCCAAGGTCCTACAAACACTGCAATTCTCCAGGGATACCCTAGGGAGATGTTTTGACAGCTTTGAAGTTTGGTTTTATCACATGGTTTAGTTCCTAATGGATTGCCTTGGTCTCCTGGATGGCATGTTTGTTCAACTTGCCTTCAACTCTGTTTATCCCTTTGTAAAACAGGTATTAAATGCAAGTCAATGCAAGCCAGAATGACAGCGGAGAGGGGGAACATTTTTCCAGGCTCCCAAATAAGATTCTTGTTTCTATACCTAGATGACAGAGTGCGAGTTACTTGCTTGTACTACATATTACACACGAGTATTAACATACTTTTTCCCTGTAAAAAGAAACATAGTGCAACTTAGAGGCACATTTTCCCTCTTAGATCTGCCTAGCAGGTCTCACTTTTGATATTTGGAAACATCTACCTCACAGGGGCCTTGAGAGGGTGAACATCAGGGTCAAAAACCCCCATATGGCTCAGAGAAAAGAACTTTTCCTTTCAGTGGGAAAGAAGAATAAGGTCATTGACATATTAATGAATCTTGTAAACTGCCTTAATGAAGTTCTAGTTTTCTTTGCCTTTTTTTGAACTCTGTCACTCCATTATACATGTAAATTTAATTTATTTGGAGTATATTAAATTTTCTTCTGCACTAGTTGCAGTAAGTAATAGTTAGAAGCTAAGAAAACAGAATTCCATTCCACTACTAGTAGGGAAACAAAAGTATATGTGCCAACACTCTTCACCGCACCGTCAGCAAAACAAAAATATTGTTACATTTACCAGTCCAAAATATAATTATTTTAAATCTTTTCACATGCTTTAAAGTTCATATACATTTCCATGCCTCAGCAAAACAAATGTAATCTGTCCAAGGAAGCACATACTGAACTTAACATTTTATGTGAAACGTAGAGTTTTCCTTAAGGGGGGAGGGGAAGACAATTCATTTCAAAACAGGCTTATGAAAACATTCAAACAACAAGAAAAAAAACAGATAAGCTGTGCACAGATTTTTAACTTACCACAAGAGCAAAGTACACCATAAAGAAAAATGATAAACTACTTGTGTAGCCAAGAAAGCCTGTAAAATAACAGTAAAAATAAAAGAGAATTTATAAGGAAAGTGATCCTAATGTACAGCTAAAGCTTTACATTTTAGGCATGTTTTCTATTAGAGTGCTTGGTATCTGGGGCTTAGGACTCAGAATAACAACATTCCAACTGCCTGTCACAGATCATTTATGTAGTTTTGTAGGGCAGAATTAGAACTGGCTTACCACTAATGGCACGCTGTAAGTAAATGCAGCTCTTTAATGTTCTGCTGTAAAGATTTTATTTTAGTATTGCAGACAAAATACTACTGCAACCCAAGTAATAGGTTAACTAGGCAGGGCTGGAAGGCAGAACACACTACAACTTAAGTAATCCCCACCATCACCAGCCCCCTGCCAGTTAAAATAAATAAATAACCCATTAAGGTTTTAAAGTCTTCAATTGTAATTGCTACTAAAGTAGAATAACATTCACTTCTCTCCTTTAATTACTCACCAATTTTAGGAAGAAGCGCAAGAGGAAAAACAATGCAGACTGAAGTAATCAGTAGAAGCAGTCTCCCATCAAGGTACCAAGACCTGTTGGAATATCTATTTATGACTGATACAAAGCTCAAGAGTCCTAAAATACATGTTCTACTTTAAAACCGTCATCTTAAGACAAAATAACCACTAGGACAAGAAAAATAAATAACTTCCAGTCTCACATGAATTTATATTCCGAGTTTCTATATTGTGATATAAAATAGATAATGAGGAAGCAGAGCACCATCCTGTAACGAACCAGCATTGCAGGCAAAGTTCCACATGCAAGTGTCTGCATGGATCACAGGTCTGATGCATGTAAAGTTATTTCTCAGCAGCACAATATGCAAATCCCTGCCTCTATTCAAAGCAACGCTCAGAGGGAAGGGTATTTCATACTCTACAGATTTCCAATAGAAGTACTTATATAGTACGCTACATGTATCTTGAATTGGATTACACCGAGTTGCATATTTACACAACTGGAAGAAACAGCAACATTAATTCCCACTTACTGCTGAACTTCCCTTCCAGTTTATTACTCCTACATGACCTTAGTTCCTTACCATTTCCAAGAGGTGTGCAATAGAAAGCTAAGCTACCCAACCTATTTGTTTGGAAATTCAGTTACGTTTTCTAAACATACCAACTTTCTCTTCTGCCCAAGTTTCATTACACCTATCATCACAGCATTCAAATAATAGAAGAAAACAAGTAAATCAACTTCCAGTTAACTTGAAATGATGTTTGCTGTCCTGAGGTGATATAAGAAAGAACAGCAATAAAGAGAACTTTCTCATCTTTAACTTTGCACAAAGCGATCACTCATTCTTTGCATACATCCATCCACACAAAAATTGAAGGACAGAAGGAATGGAAATTATGCCAATGAAATCTGCTATGATGTTTATACATAAAACTATACATATAAAAAAAGCATTGTAAAGGCATATGAAATCTTAATGCATTTAAAATCAATTCGAAGTATCAAAATCTCATCTCCAAATTGACGAAAGTACAGATGTCTAAGTAGTTAAGAAACAGAAACATCTTGAGGGTGGTTCCCCCTAACTTGGTAATAACCATATCCTGTACTGATACACATCTTGTACATCAGCCTCCGACTTTACTACCTATAAACACCTTGGCCTTTGACCTTCAAGTTTATTTAGTCCAGGATATGGTTAGCACCTAATAAACAGGCAGCACCTCAAGTTATCATAAGGAAAGTAGCATAACACCTGTGTTAAAGAAAAATTACCATATACATATATTAACTACTGTCATACATCGTGGACAACCATTTGTGTCACTCGTTTGAAAAAATATGTAATATAAATGAACAGAGAAATTTCAAGGTTGAGGGCATCTTCGCCACATCAAAAATCAAAGTACCCCTTAAGTAACAATGTCTATGTTAAAAATTACTCAAAATACGTCATTATTCAAAAAAAATGTACCACTAGCTTAGGTCTGCTACTGCTACAGTGAAAAAGCAACTTTGCCAAGATCAGCGCCCTGCTGTAGTATTCTTCATGTTGTTAACATTTAGCATTCACATATTTTTAAACTTTTTCTAAATAGTATGGTGGATGTTTTGATTAGGAGGAACAGTATCATAGCAGTAGGCAAAAGTATAATGAATGCTGCACTAGTGTACACGTGGGACCTCTGTTTTAAGTCTCCGGATTCTAAGCATGCAGCAAATTCACAGTTGCCATCGTAGCTCACAAGCTGAGCAGGCCAGAGGAAAAATTATTTTGGTTACTTTATGGTAAATGAAAAAACATTTGTGGGGAAGATGATGGGAAGGAGAAAAAATAATTTTGTAAACGGCTTAATTTTGGAATGCCAATTCTTTTATTTAAAAAGATCTCAAAAAACTGAATAGTGGACCATTTACTGGTTATCAAAAAATGTGTCCTTTTTTTCCCCAACATACTGTTGTAGAAATACACTCATTTTCCAAAGGCAGAATAAATATTTTGGTATTGCCTTTAAAATCAGTTTGATCTGCAAATTTAATCCTATATGATAAAAGCGTTCCAAGTATGAAATACGGAATATAAATCCTTGACTCTACTGAAAATGGTTTGGCATGCAGATGTTCCTCCTCCCTCCCCCATATTTTAACTAAAAGCAGACATTTATAAACCACTTTAATTTCATTCCTGAATGCAACAGGACAAGAGATTCATATGTTCTAAATTAGGATCTTACTCTCAGTCCATATCAATTATATAACACACAAGCAAGACAACTTAATTGCATCAATCATATCCTCCTGACAGGGTCATTAAATGTTAACAGAGGGCTCACAAATTACAACTTTTTAACACAATCCTCATTTGAAACTATGTTCATGTCATCAAAACTATGTGGAATTCTTGTTATGCAGACAGACTGAAACATCTCAACTTGCAATTAACAAGTGTTCATATTGTATGTTTTTGTTTTTTAATAAAGACATGAAGATGTATTACACACTGGCTCTGAGGCTTTCAAACACATGCACACCTGCTAACCTTGATCTATAAAATAATTCAATGCGTAAAACATTCTTTAAATGGATTTCCCAAAAGTATGCTTTAGGATGGTATATGCATATAAAATACTTTTCACAGATAGTTTAACTGACACTTTTGACACATTCTAACTACAGTTAAAGATAAATTCTGCACCCAAATGGAAGCATATCAGATGCTATAATGACTTAACAAAACCAGAACAGTTGTGCAACCACATCTGGAAACAAGTGGTCCAGTTAAAGAAGTTTAACCAAACTAGTCAGTATTTATGCCCTTTGCATAAATAAGTTGCTACTTAGGCTTGGTATTTGATTACCTATTTTTGTTTAACAATTTCCTACAACTTAAAAATTTTGTTAGTAAAAGACTACTCTTAACATCTGCGAAGAAATACACAGAACCAAAAGATTATGATCTACCATGGCAATTAATATGGCAAAATGTATGAAATATAGATGTGGGCATACAGAGGAGGTCAGCTGTGTGCATGCACCAGGAATACTGCTTGACCACTGCATTTGAAATATTTGCTTGGACAAAGAATAGAGGAGTCAAATTGTGTCAAATTAACATTTATCAATGGAAGAACTCCCAATAACAGAGGCAGAAACAGGATCAGACCCAGGCTGACAACCAACTTACCACTTGAGCTGTGGTTATTATTCCTATGGACAATTTCAGCTCTTTCTAAATGCAAAATTGAACTTCACTCCCATCTCAAGCTGTAATTTCACCTGAGGAAGAAGTATGGATGGCAGCAGCGCTGACAGCACACTGAGAACTACTACCATGGCTCAGATGATTTGTAATAACCAGTTCAAGCGCTGTAACCTGAGTGTTCACCAGCGTTCACATCCAGAAGATCTGCACTAGGACCTTGAAAAACAGCTAAAGCTGGTGGGAGTGTTACCAAATAGGCAGCTTAATAAATAAGTTGTTTATACTGCTTTTTTAGACAGAGCAATCCTTTGAGCAGTATGTATGCATGCGGGACCTCCAGATTCTGCCTATTATGAGTTTTCACACGCTGTCTGTTTAAAAGTGTATCTTTGATGGGAAAAGTCACTTTGCATAAACAGAGCTGACATAAAATTAACAACAATAGTAAATGATGTTATATGCTAAATTTGGGGACAGACAGACTGGAACACACATGCAGCAGATACAGTAGCAGGCTCAACGCCACTGTGTATGAAGAGTGGAGTTAAAAGTACTATCTTGAAGAAGGTGACAGCACCCAAATGAAAAGCTGATGACTATCACAGCTGGAAAAGATACATTAGCAGACTAAAAATGACACATAAACATAAAACATAATAGTTTAAAAAAAAAAGCCCCTTACTAACAACGTATTATTGCAAGGGCCAGGAGGGCAGTAAGACAGAAAGCAAGATTACCACCACACTTCATTTCTCAAAATGTTTGTTATAAAATGGAAAAGTTATAAATGACAAAATATAAAATGAACTGAAGTACCTTTTAAAAAAATAATTTCAAACTTAAAATTCACCCACAGCATTCAGGAATAATACAAGCACCACACAGCATTGAGATAATTTCACCACATTTCAATCCAGAGAAAGTTTTGAGCTCAAAACATCTGAAAATAGCAGTTTGGAAAAACAGCCGTAACACAATCTAAGATACACTGTTATGAATGACAGCAGCACTGGAACAACTCAAACAAGATATTTCAGTGCTGAAGCTGCAATGTTTGTCTTAGCACAGGCACAGACTTCTTGCGACAGTTCTGGTAGAAATCTGAGGGACACACTCGTTACATACAGCTTTATAGCTCAACTGCGAAGAATAATTTCTTTACTGGGAGCCAAGTTACAGAATTATAAACCAAGTCTGGAAACCTGGCATTTTTCCCAAGACAAGTCCAATTACTGGAGCAAGACAACAAAATACTTATATTTAAATGTCTGCCGGTTTTTGTAGTGTGGTTTTGAAATATGTGAAGTGATAACATGACAGCAGTTTAAATGTTTCTCCTCCTCTTCCTCCTGTCCCCTCCTGCTTCCCCTTTCAAATTTTTACAGAAGGGAGATTTCTGTAGATGGAGTTTTGCCACTGACTTTAAGGTCGTCTGATGGGAAATTGCTATGAGGAAAGAATCATGCTCTCTGTGTGTGCTGCAGAAGGCCTGCACATGCCAAATACATTTTATATTCCAAGAACTTCTGTAAATAACCAATTTTTTTAGCATGTGAGATCAGAGGGAAGTGTCAGTACCCATCTTCTTCAGCAGTCCTGAACCACTTTCTTCTTCGAGACAAATACACAATATGTATGAAGCATTTTTCCTTACCCACTCTCGTCTCCACTTAAGAACCCCGCAACAGCACCAGGAAGTTCAGACTTAACAATTAAAAGATAAGATGACATAGCTGCAAACAGAAGCAGAACGGATTTAGTAGAGGAATACTAGTATCTCTGGTTGTAACAATTAGACGGTTTAACCAGAGTGGTTACGATTGGAACATCTCAGCTATATATTAAGACACCATGGCACCAGAATCAGAATTTATTTTCTCATATACTTCCTTTAAAAATAGCTGCAAATCCCTGAGTATTGTACTGATGTTAGCTAATGTCTCCAAAGAGACTGTTACGATGTGAGTCTTGAAACAAGGAAAACAATCCAAAGGACTAAAAGGCAAAACAATATAAAATATAGGCCTGACCTTTTACCTGGGAATACGAACCTACAGGCTAGAGACAGTCTACAAGGCTGCAGCACTTCTCCTTCCTCTTTACTCTTCGTAAGACATTGTTAATGACGAGAGTAAATAATAAGATTTGTTTCTATGAATACAATAGGTTTTTTTAAGACTCAGTTTTTATTGTTGCTCAATTGCTGTTGCACTAAATAAATCTATGACAGAAATTTAAAGACAAGAATAGGACTTGAAAGGTTCTTTATATACTGGATGGTTTGGCCCTTGGACGCAAGAGGATTATCAGTGATGGAACTCCGTCTCTCATGCTAAACCCACCACCAAGAAGATCACAACAACAACATAAAATGCAAAACTACACAGGAACTGCGAATCAGAAGAGAAATTGTTAGTGACTCTTATAGGAGTGTCGACTTGAAATTATGCATTTATAACTCTATTCAGAAGAAAGCAATGATGCATACACATAAATCCAAAAGCTACTTCACTGTATCACTTTTCTCCTTTACTATATAAAATGATCAAAGGCATAAATGAAAGGTTACACTAACCTGAAACCTTCACATACTCTTCATGTCACTTTTTTCTTTGACATGAGCAGCAAGTATTTATATGAATCAAAGAACAGCAGAGAATTACTCAGAAAAATCAAGCTTTACAAACAGCTTCAACGAATATCAAAGACTATATGAAACTAATTTCCATCCTTCAGCAGCAAGTAATTTTAGTAACGTGCCAACAAAAGTTTAGTTACATTTAAAGCCTGACAAAAATTCATTTGTTGTAAAATTCAAATTTTACTGTTCTGTATTTATTTATTAATTCTTTAGATTCTACCGTGGTGCATTTATTAATGCTTTAAAATTAAAACATAAATTTTAAAAAGGCAAACCAGCAAACTTCCATAAGCTGATCTTTGAAGTAGTTTGTGGGGTTTTTTTTTTTTAAATGGAATGTTTTGAACCTTAAAAAAATGTGTGGACTCAGACACTGCTGCACTACAGCAGTTAATGTTAAATTTTGAAGAAAGGTAATGTGGTCTCTATAAAGAAAGCGAATTCTATAAATACAAAGTGACATCTACCTACCGCAAGGTTAAATCAAAACCATTTGGTAGGTCACTAAATAAGGAACTATTCACTTCTTCATAATTAAAAGCTCTGTTTTTTCCAATATTCAAGTATATTTCCCTGTTGACATGTAGCTGTTGATTGTGTCTGGTGAGGTATTTATCTGCTGTTCTGATTTTACTCTCCTATTTGCATACAGCAGATTGTAGATTCAACCTTAGAGAACCTTACAGCATGCATATTTCTGAATCACCAGAATTTGTAAGTAAATTAAATTTCTCACGCTAAGCTACAGGCAGATGTATATTTCACCCTAAGCAAAGACAGATTTTTTAAAAATTAAGAGGGGGGGTAATGCCTCTAAATTATAATTCAACTTTATTTATCCATTCTTGTATTATACAATACTTGATACACAAGCAAGTCAGAATTTTCATATATTTATGTCCTTCAGAAAGATTTTAAAATTAGTTCTTTTGCAGCCTCAGCTGCAGAAAGCTTCAAATTAATTTGCAGATCAGATTTCCTCCTAATATGCAATCTGTCACTCTTCCCTTGCATTCCTATTAGCCTCTGGCTAATCATTTGATCACTTATCCTTTGTTGTGCGCTTACTCTTTGTTTTTAAAAGAGGAGTCCTATTTCACTGAATTCCACTCCTAAGTAGGGAACCAATCATGCACCAAGAAACTTGCACATGCTAAACATTTGTATGCATCTTTCTTCCTTTCTCTGGGCATATGGGAAACAATCTCACATAGCAGGATTTCCCTCCCCCCCAGTTTATATTCTCTTGTTTGTTCTGAAGATGAAGATAATAAATAATTTTATTTATATCCTGATGCTTAAATACGACAATAAATCTCGTACATATCGCTGAGCAGGACACCCAAGCTAAATACAGGTTTAGAAGTCAAATCCTGCTTTTTCTTCACTTACAAACACAGTTGCAATTCTCTGCATGAGCAACAACTCCTTGTAGCTCTACTCAGCTTGAAAGAAGTAAGAGACACTAACCACTGTATAACTCTCTGAAACACACTACAAAGTGAGCAAAGAACATTGCTTATTTGTTTTTTAAAGCTGAAACCAAAACAGCAAAGTATCTTCAAAAAGGACACAGCAACCTGAAAAAATTATCTCAAGAAGGAATAAAGTGCATACAGTATGACAGACAAAAAGTCATGTATCCTTTGCTCCAAATAAGAAATTTTACTTAGCTCCCCTGACGCCCACCACAACCGAAGGCATGTCAAGTTATATTGTACAAATTAAATGTCAGCTATCCTTGGCAGTCTTAATGTATAACGGAAGGAAGAGATTACACAGTCACAAGGCTAAACTGTGACATAAGTGAACACAACAAAAAGCGTACCTTGTGCTTTGATTTATTCCACTTTTGAAGTATTGGACTTCCTCCGTCATTTTGAAAATCATTTCAATGTTTTAATGGCTAACTTTTAAGGCACCTTTTATCACATACAAAATTACAATAAACATACATTCATCTTTAGAAGTCAAGCGTTCAAAAAAAATGAGCAAATGTCAGAAGCAACACTCCCTTCAGAGTTCACCCCCCTTGCATGCACATAGTATGAGAGAGGAGAACTTACTGCTCTTGCAACCCAGTCTCATCCCCTAAATTAAAAAAGAATGTTGTGTTTTCTTCATGTCACCTTCTCTTTGCAACAAGAGACATCTATCTTTAGCACTGAATGAGACAGGTTTTCTGCAGAACGAATCGTGTACAACGACGTAGTTTGAGGCTTTAGCAATATGCAGATGCAACAAGTGCTGAACTATAACTATGTGAGCAACCTTCATTTAGTTGCTTCCTAATTATTAGGTCACAAATTTGCATATATTATGTTATATTTAAATAATTTTCAATATGCACCAAGAGCTACTTGATGGAAAACTAAGCAGGTTTGAACTTCTGAACAGGCCTTGAAACAGAAATGACATAAAAAAACAGTCAGCAGAAATCAAAATTATATTACTCCTTTATTATTCAATAGGCTTACCACTGTCTTGAAAGCAGCAAGAAATTAAATTCATAAATAAGTATCACTTTGCCATGTTCTGAAAACTTGGTATTAGCTCTTTGACAGAAAAAAAGATGTTTGTAAAATATAAAAGAGGTACTTGCTTTAAACTTTACTATAACCTGCAGTGCCACAATCAGATACGACCCTCTATAAATACACACACCATGCATACATTATTCAGAATGACCTTATTGTGCTACAATATTGTTTAACACTGAGCATATGTGCCCTACCTGAAAAAAATTAGTTGCTGGAGAAAAGGGAAGCTTTTTTTAAAGCTGTTTTTAAAATAGTCCCCTACCTCTCCTGAGGTAGCGCAATCTTAAAATCAAGTATGTGAGTGGCTTTTTGGTTCCCAGAAAAGAAAGTGTAACTTTTCCTTATTATCCTGCGCAAAAAAGATCAATTGCTGAAGTCCACAGCAATGATGCAAAACAATATGTACATTAAACTTATGTGTAAACATATAATTTATTCCTTCCTTAGAAAATAGCTGGTGACAAATCCCTTCAAATCACTTTATTGAAGGGACAGAATCTAACTCTTCTGGTTAGTTTTTCCTAATCTACCACTGTAGCCGTTCATATTAGAGCGCTATAAAGATGTCTTACACTATTAAGCACTGTGCAAAAATGGAACCAAGCTGCCCTCCAAACTTCAAATAGGAGAAGATAGGGGGCTGGGGAAAAATAGACTGTATTAATGCAGCCACCCTGGCTCTTCAGCTCCCACTTAAAAAAAGAAGGCTGCTGATTTGGGAGTCAGGACAAGTAGACACAGCAATCTTGATTCTCATCTGGGCGAATACCAGGTAAGGCAGAGATTCCTCACAAACGCCTATAGATAATTAAGATAAATGAAAATGCTTGTAACTCTCATTCTCTGAAGAGTTCAGTCAGTAAGATTCCTATTTTTCCCAAAATACTGAAAAGACTAGAGGCTGAAATACAGAAATAGTAGAATAAACGCTACCGGTCGCTGCACACTCCAGCCCAACCGAGCTGGATCTTTCACAGCAACTGCATGTGACAAACCCCTTTGGGCTTGTGTCTCCCTTTGCTGGTATGGAGGTTTGTTTAAAATTGAATCTGTCCTAATCCAAACAATGTGACAAAGTTAAAACAGAAAGCAGGGAAAGATTTCAAGAAAGAAAGTGAAACTAGAGAGGATTTTGGGCAAGCTCCCATTTTTCCTGTCAAAGAATTAGAATGGAATAGCAAGATCGGAAGTACTTCAGCATTGCATTGAATTCCTAGTAAGTAATTCGAATTGTGGAAACATCAGGAATGATGCATGGATGCCACTGAAAACCATCAACTATTTTAGCCCTCACATCATACAGCCTTAAAAGCATGCTCTTTTGTTTTCATTTTGCAATGAATCCCCCACATATTCGATTTTAAGAAGTCTCCCAATTACTTGATGTATTGTTTTTAATATTTCCTCTTAGTGGGAGCTTAAAAACTGAAAAAAATTGTTGAGATCATTTGTTTGTTTTTAAATACAGATGTGGAATAGAGTGTGTGGAAGGAGATGTAATGCTTGTTCATATGGAGAAGTTCTGAGAATAGAAACAGGTTGTCAACTTCTT